GTCCCTTTGAAGCCGACACAGACAATGCCAGCCTGGGAGCTGTCGGAGGAGCAGGTGCGGAAGGCTGGGAGGGGGCCGTGGAGTTTGTCCCCGGGCAGCCCTACCGGGGCCGCGGGGCCTGGGCCCCGCCGAGCTCGGCGACTGAGAGGGAGCTGTTGGCCGTGGGCGCGGGCCAGCCGCTCTGCCGCGACGCAGCCATGGGGCAGTGCTTTCGCGGGGAGCGCTGCGTGTACGTCCACGGAGAGGTTTGCGATATGTGCGGGCGGCAGGCCTTGCACCCCGTGGACGATGCCCAGAGGGCAGACCACATAAAGGCCTGCATCGAAGCGCACGAAAAGGATATGGAGCTCTCGTTTGCCGTGCAGCGCAGTATGGACAAAGTGTGTGGCATCTGTATGGAGGTTGTCTATGAGAAAGCCAACCCCAGCGACTGTCGCTTTGGCATCCTCTCTAGCTGCAACCACGCCTACTGTCTTAAGTGTATCCGCAGGTGGAGGACGGCCACACAGTTCGGGAACAGGCTTATCAAGTCCTGCCCGCAGTGCAGGGTCACCTCCAACTTTGTCATTCCCAGTGAGTTCTGGGTGGAGGAGGAGGAAGAGAAGCAGAAACTTATTCAGCAGTACAAGGAGGCATTGAGCAACAAGACCTGCAGGTATTTTGCTCAAGGCAGGGGGTGCTGCCCCTTTGGAGAGAACTGCTTTTACAAGCATGCAGAGCCCGAGGGCGAGGGCGAGGGCGAGGAGCCTCAGAGGCGGGGTTCTGGGGAACCCGGCAGCCCTGACAGCCAACATATGGAACCCGAGCAGGTGGGAGAGGGCCGCATGCACTTGCAAAGCAGTAAAGAGCTTGTCACGCTTTGGCTGGCCAGTCTGTCGTGTGAGCCGTTTTCTTTCGCTGGGAGCCAATGGGCTGCCCCTTTTCACAGAGCGGTGGGACGTGCTTTTTGTGCGGCTGGAAGTATCTTTCTGTTTGGTTCGTGAGCGTTTCGCTGTGGCATGTGGTGTGGTGTGCTGAGGCTCTGTCATCGCTGTTGCCCGTTTTCTGTTCGTAGGCGCATCCGCCATGTCCAGCAGCCGTTGAAGCCATTTCTATAGATCATCCATCCTCGTTTTCCTGCCCATCCCCATTTTTTCTCCAGGAGTCTGGTGTTTCACAGCATTGCAAAAGCCCTTAAAGTTATTGTTTGGTGAAATGACTATGACTGTCAGTTTATGGCTCATTTTGTCATCTGTTTCCAACAGGATTGATTCAGTTCTAGTCTAGTGTTTGCAGGATTTCCACACTCATTTTGAAGTCCCGCGAGAATAAGTGTGGCAGGATGAAGGGAGAAGTCTTAACTGAACGAGGAACTCTTTGCTGCTACAGCCTTAAGACACGGACCCTGTGGGGCCGATGCAGCCGCCGTCTCTGCTGTTTGCACGTCTGTCCTTCCCCGACCCCCCCAAGTGTGCTTTCTGACTGTGGTTTCCTTGTGGTTTTGTGTTTCACTGGACCAGACCAGGTGTATGTGTTTCCGTGTCCTCCTGCTTCACTCGATGTGGAATCGCTTCTGTTCGAAGGCATCTATTTAAGAATCAGAGATATATATCCGTGCAGATAAATGTGCGTAAAAGTTATGTATTTGAAAACGTTTAAAGGATATATATATATAGGTATATATCGTAATATAATGTCTGTGGAGTAAAACAAATCCAGACCTGGAAGCCGAATGTCAGAGGCTACCAGAATTCACTGTCGCGTGTGTGTGTGTGTGTGTGTGTGTGTGCGCCTGTGTGCGTGTGTGTGTGCGTGTGGGGAGGGGGGGTGTGCATCATTGTTCTGTGCCTTTCACAGGCTTAGATGTTTAGCATCTACTGAAGACAGCCATCCAGCTGGCTCTGGCCAAATATGGCAGACGCAGATCTTAAAGGACTTGCTAGGCAGACACTGGTAGTTGCTGTGATGGCGTCAGTAGGCCACTCTGCTGTCATAGACACAGAGGTGTGTGTCCCCAGGGCTGCTTAGCTCCCTCTCATCACAGTCGTGGACTGTTCTTTGTATTCGATGTTTTCTGTTATCTGTAGCATTCCAAACGAGGGGCTCTCGCAGACTTCAACATGTATGTGACAGGGTTAGCAAAGAGAAAATAGAATCATAAGAAGGATTTTGAAACGAATCGGAATACCAGAATGGAACGATCAAAAAAAAAAATGCCATCTAGAAAGGACTACGATAGCGGTAAAGTCTATAGCACACACGCACCGTGATTAGATGAAACGCAAACGGTCTAAAAACAAAGTCAAAGATTTTCGAACTGATTGAAATTAAAATGAAGCCGTGTGCTCTTTAAAACACACGACTGAAATACAGGACTATAGGAGCATTCAGAGCGAGCGGATGGAAAAATCCAACAGGTGGCCGTGACTTTCTTTCGCAGACCAAGTTTGCGTACAGGATAAATTCAGATAAATGATGGCATATGGATATTAAATTATAATTCACCAGGAAGATGAAACTATCGCAATTTTGTCTTCATTTACTGACGTCAGATATACAAATAATGGATGAGAATAGAAAAATCTAAAATTTTAGTGAACGATTTTAATACATCTTTTCAGTAGCCAAGAAAGGATGTGAGTCGAACAGCACAATTTTAACGCTTACGTAGCCGACCTGCATAAGGTACCGTGTGCGTCACCCGGACGACGCCCGTCCCTTGGCCAAGGTGGCTGCAGGAGTCCGGCAGACACAGGGCGTGTTCGCAGAGTTTATTACGCCCTGTTTAGCGCTCT